TTACCTGTGTCTTCAAGTGCCATGAAGGTAGAAATCTCATCTTACTTGTCTTATATTTCCAGTGTCTCCTGAAGAAACTAGAATTTGGGGGAACTCAGTAAATTTTTGTTAAGCTAAATAAATAAATGTATATCCTAATGATATTTTTATTATTGTTAGATAGAGCATAATGGAAAAACAATTGTATTTGAGATTAGAGTATTAATCTTGTAATTAAATACTAGATTATGTGGATTCCATAAAAATTGGGACAAAAAATGTCTTCTGTGCCATGTAGCAGTCATTTTATCATAACTTTATTATAAGCAATTTGGAAATAGGGACTGTCTTTTATTCTCTATGTCTTCACATATATTTAATAACAGTGAGTAATTCATATTATAATTAAATAAACATTTATTTAATTTGATTAAATAAATAAGCATAAAGTAACCATCACTAGAGTAGATAATATGCCAATCAATCTTATGGCTTTTTTATTTTTATGTTTTTCTCTTCTCTTATGTTTATAATCCTAAATTAAAAACCAAAACTACAGAATAAAAAGAAAGAGAGAGACTGTACTATTCCGCTCTCACTCTGAATCTTTAGCTGGTTTGCTAGCCTGGAATAATGAATACATAATAGTTAAAGTTTATTAACTTGCTTTCCTTATTTTAAGAATCAATATTATATAAACTTAAGACTTGAAGTTGTCAATATGAAAAAGATAACAAGGAAAATTGACCAAATTCTGAATATTGCTGCCATAATTTTTGATGTTCTTTTTAAGTTAGGTTTACATGCCACCATTGTTGGTTAGATCAATCTGTTAAGTATATCATAACCTTATTTTTTAAAGGTTTTTGCTATAGGGTAAGTATGCTTGCTAGAGAGAGACAGAGACAGAGAGAAAGAGAGAGAGAAAGTGAGAAACCATCACCCAACCCCAGGTAAATGGCCATGCCACAGTCCCTTCTCCATTCTCCTCTCAGGATTTTGAGCATTCATGTATATATGCCCAGTGTGTCTTGCAACACACCAGGTCTGGGGCTTGAACCATGGTGTCAGCTATGTAGGATCCAGCAACTTAACCACCACACCACTTGCTGGCCCCATAGTTTTTAATTTTATATTAATAATTTTCAATAGCATCTTTTTTTTCTAAAAGAAATACTGAAAGTAAAAACTCATAACTTTTCAGTTCATTCACCAGCTCAATCTGAGGGATTAATTTCCCTTCAGAAAATAGCAAATGTCATTATCCTGCAGTGAACATGACATCACCCAGCAAGTAGAATGGAGCTATATGGAATTTACTCTCCGCAGGTCCCATTTGATGTTTGACTAAACATTATAAGTTAATTTTCAGTTCCCCTGTCATTGTCTGTTAAAAAACAAACAAATAAACAAAAAATAGGACACAATGTTACTAGGTCACTGAGTGCCACTGCAAAGACTTGTATACGCAGATACTAAACATGACACTTTGCTTCCTGGAGTGGAATACAATTTCACTCAAGTAAAAACCTGCTATTGTACTGATAATTATAAGCAACAGCTTATGTGGGCAGATCAGTGGTGTGACTTGTGAATAGAAACTTTGAATGGAATGGATTATAAAATCTCATTCATTTGAGTGTTTAAAATTACAAGGGCCAGCAAGTGACATGGTGGTTAAGGCACTGGACACCTACAAGGCTAACCACCAAACAAGCGCCGGATCTGGTGGCTTGAAAACCAAGCTGGGTGCATGTGTATGTGTGCCCCAAATCCCAAGATGAGAATGCAGAAGGGATTGTGTGTGGCCACCCCCCAGAGCCTGATTTCTCATTTTCCCTCTCTCTGTTTCTCAGGTGAGTGCATGGACCTTATGGCAAAAAAATAAAGAAAAAAATACTTCAATCATAATAATCATATTAGTACATGTAGATAAGACCATATCTACTTAACGCAGCATTACCCTCAATGGAATACATAATATTATTAATATACAATTAATACTTGTTATTAATATATTAAATAAAATTATAATATATTAACAATGCTATTATGTATACTATAATGATACAAATAATATTAATCCTACTTAAGTGGAAAAAAAAGTGACTTCATTCTTATAATTAGCATCATTAGCATTGCTATTAAATATTTGTAGTTTTTCTCCAAAAGAGTAACTACAAAGGTAAAAGATTTGAAACAGAGATGGAACAAGTTTTAGAATACAAAAGTCCCAAGTTCAAGTTATAGTCTTACTACTTACTTCTGTGTGTTTAGTTTTGAGAAAGGAGGTCCCTTATTAGCCAAGTCAATTATCTTACTTTAGCCTCAGATTTCTGGCCTGCAAACATGATTACAAGTATGCAAAAGTCACAATGTCGTTAAGATTAGTTATTACGTGTATGAAGTAGCTAGCATAACTTCTGGCCCTACTGTGTGCCCCATAAATGGCATCAATCATTTTTAATGTCTGTTTGGAATAAATTACTTTAAATGTATTCAAATTTATTCGACTCTTATTTTGGATTCTTTGACTAGTCCATGTACAAAGTATTTCATATGTGTCTTTCAAGAAACAGCCGTTGACTCCTTTATCAAATTCAGGCATATTCATCTACTAAGATGCATAAACAATGGCCACAACTAACTAATGTCTAAAATTAAACTCATGCCCTCATGCGCGCTGTCTTGAAATCATCATCACCACTACCAAGTCACCTTAGACAACACCTAGGAAATCATTGTTTCGACAATTCCTTCTTGATTCTTCCTCCTCACCCAGTTCAAGTCATTGGCATTTTCCCTGGACTTTTCTAGTGATGGTCTTCTACATAATTTTTCTGCCAGCAGATTTGTCCTTCTCAAATGTACCTTCCAAAGAAATATCAAAGTGTCTTTCCAGAAAATGTCTTCTCACATGATTTTCTAACTAAAAGTTCTTGGACAGACTCTGTGACCTGGTGGTTAGAGAGCGGGATTCCACATGGCTGACCTTGAGCTCTGAAGTTTGGCCCTGGAGGCTTGAGGTACATGCTGGGCACATGTGCATGCATTCCAAAATCCGACAGGATGGAGAAATGGAGGAGAAAAGATGATAGTCTGACCACACTCCAGAGGGATGCTTTCTCCATCTCCCTCTCTCTCTGTCTCTCTGTCTCTCTCTCTGACAAGCATACATTCTCTTTTGCAAAAAAAAAAAAAAAGAGGGAACCAGCAGTTAGCGTAATGGCTATGTCGCTGGACTCCCATGTAGTTGACCACGGTTCGCATCCTGGACCCGGTGGCTTAAAACTCACGCTGGGCGCATGTGCGTGCGTGCCCAAGATCCCGAGAGGAGAATGGAGGAGAAGGGATTGTGGCGTGACCATCCCCCCTGGGGGGGTGATTTCTCGCTTTCTGTCTCTATGTCTCTCTCTGTCTGTCTGGCGAGTGCACATCCCCTATAGCGAAAACCTCTCAAAAAAAAAAAAAGAAAAGAAAAAAAAGAAAAAAAATATTTTAAAGTTAAAAGTCCTTTTGAGAATTTCTCCCATTGGGCTGGATAAATCTAAGCTTCTTAAAAAACAAAAAAACAAATCAAGTTTTCTATCCCCATGGTCATTAACTTTCTAGCCCTTCCTTGAATTGGTTCATGCACTAATAACACTCACTAACCTATAATTATCCATAAACACCACACCATTCAGACCTCTGAGACTATCTAAATGTCACATACTAGTTCACCTTGTCAACTTCTCACTCTTTTAAGCTCAGTCCAGTTCAAAAGTGTCGAGGTAGTTACCATTTTAAAGGACAGAGAGGAGACAGGTGCAGGATGAAAGTGGACTAAGAGGAGCAGAGTTGAGCAGGAGATGAGGTTAATACGAATCAGCCCGAGGATGGTCTAAGGCTGACTGAAGATAGAAAACTGCCCTGGGATCCTTGGCTTCTTCCTTTTTTGAATAAGAGAGGTTTATGCTATAGGGTGTGTGCACTCACTGGAGAGACGAAAGCAGACAGAGAGACAGAAAGCGAAAAATCACCCCCTGGGGGGATGGCATGCCACAATCCCTTCTCCTCCATTCTCCTCTCGGGATCTTGGGCAAGCATGTACACATGCCCAGCGTGAATTTAAGCCACTGGTTCTGGGTCTTGAACTGTGGTTGACTACATGGGAGTCCAGAGGCACAGCCATTACGCTAACTGCTGGGCCCATGTTATAATGGATCTTAATAGAGTTTCTAAAATAAATCTACTTTGTATTCCTGTATAAATCCCACTCGGTCATGATGTTTCTTTTACTCTTAAACTGCTATAATATGTTCATTAATATATTATTTACACACACACATATACATATATGTACACGTACACATATATTTATTTATACACCCACATACATAGGAGACTTCGTATACATATGCATATATATGTGAAATATGTATATAGGAAATATGTATGTATGTGTGTGTGTGTATATATATATATATATATACACGTATCAGAAAGTTTAAGGAAATACGGAAGAAAAATACAAGTTTCGTGTGAAAAATATTTGAAATCCATGCATAATTTTTTCATAATATAATTTCCACGAACTTTTTGAAGACCTGTGTGTATGCATTCACAAACTTCACCATCACCCATACACTGAGAAGTGGCTTCAAAACCCTGCAACATTACAGGCCTCAATCCATCTGTGGCTTTCTTCGAAAAAAAGACACTTTCTCTGACTGTGCAGTAATGAATTGGAACCATGGTTCTGGTATTTCCCAGTTTTCCCACTGGAACAGAGACTTGCATCCTTCTGCATCTGTGAAATCATAGCTAATTATTTTGTGAATTCATCTTCTCTTTATTGTCCTTTTCCCACAATTTAACCAAATCAGAATATGCAGTTCCTGAGAGAATCCGGTCTCTCTGATTTTCTGATCTAATTTAGATGTTTACGGGATAAAAGAATGCTTGCTGCGCTTCTTAAATTTAATTACGGGGTTAGACGGGAGCGATGAGAAGACTGCACTGGTTCTAATATAAATTACCTTCTCTCCGCAGGAGGAGCGTTATCCGCTGCCTGGACCGTGAGCGCATACGTCCGCCCGACTATCAATTCCACCCCTGGCGCGATGCTGATAAGCCCTGTTGTTTTATTGATGATGAAGTCCCCCTGAGCCCCAGCCAGGATTTCATAGGTGATCTCCCCATTTGACCCTTCGTCTGCGTCCACGGCAGTGAGCTGGAATTAAAAATCATAACATAAATGTTCTTGGGACACAACTTTTCACCATTATGTCATTTTGTCTCCCACAAGGAAACAGACTTGGGTTCAAAGACAAAACCTATGTACACAAGTATTTTTTTTTCCCTTGGAACGGATATTCTTGTTCTTTTGAATGAAGCTACTGTGTTCTATTCTGATACTAAAGCTGTCAGAGTAGAAAGATTTTCTTTAAATTATATTTTATGAATGATAAGAAAATAGTTTTAATTCTTGAAGACTTCCATTGTTATAATTTCATAAATTAAAAAAAGGAGGAAATCCCTAAGAGAAAATCTTATATCCCTATGGGAAATTTATTTTTTTTCCCTCTCTCACTTCTTTTTCTTGGCACATCACATATTGCTATAGACTGAGACCTGGAAAAATTGAAATAGGTAAAAATCATCTTTCTTATTGCTATGTTTTTTCTTATCATTTTTTTTCACTTATAATGAATCCTTCTTACCTCCCAGAAACTCTATTGCCCTCATGTCATTTTTATTTACACTTGCTCTAGGAAAGATTACAAGATTATGAGACTATCACCTTTTTGAAATCAAACAAATGCATCTGTAATTGTTCAATATCAAGGCTGACGTAGCTCAAGAAAAATTATTTTAGAAAAGCCGATCTATCCAGGACCCTTGAAATTATAGCATCTAGACATTTTTTAGAGCTAATCTGTATATATTTATAATCAATTTGATGCAATTTATATCTAAAAGACTATACTAGGATCATTATGTACGAGAAGAGAGTAACTGTTACTAATCCCAAAAAACATTAAGAAAATAATGACATATTAAAGAAGGCTCTTTGACTTCTTGATAAGTATGTATTTACTTATGGGAGAATATATACTCATATAATTTTCTCTTTTCACCATACCAAAAGTGATACGTAGTAGAATGAAAGATCAGTTTATACATAATGAGAAGGATTAAAAATTTTCTGTTGAATAAAGCACACACACAGAAGTGTACAAAATTAATTTGCTCTTATTTGCTTACATTTGCTTATGTATTTCTAATCCCAAGTTTTACTTCTGTAATTATTTTTTTTAGAGGTTTTAGCCAAGGGCATGTGTGCTCGCCAGAAAGACAGAGACAGCCAGAGAGACAGAAAGTGAGAAATCACCCAGAGGGGAAGGCCACGCCACAATCCCTTCTTCTCCATTCTCCTCTAGGAATCTTGGGCACACACACACACACACACACACACACACACGCCCGGCATGAGTTTAAGCCACTGGGTCCGGGACTTGAACCACGGTCGACCACATGGGAGTCCAGCAACATAGCCATTACTCCAACTGCTGGTCCCAATTTCTGTTATTTAAGGGTTCACAAACACCTTTGGGAATTTGGTAAACATTCTAGTGCACCTTCCCTTGACAAAATGTGAGTGTGTACATTTACCATGAAACTTGAATTCAATTTCAAGGACGCCATGTTTATTACTGGCCCATTCAAGGTATCATGTTAACACCTCTGAAAAATGTAAGCACAGTACTTTATACAACCCACCAAGTTTAAGAGAATACATGGTGCATATTCTCTTCCAGTTTTCTTACATGCTGCATTTAGAGTGATAACGTGCACAGAAAGAGCAGCAGCATAAATAATTGAGAAGAAAAAAGAAAACTTGAGAGAGATGGGAATTAATGCAGCTAAGTCCCCAGATTTGGTATTTAGAGGTGGACAGATGTGGCTGCCAGAAGGAAAGACATTTCATGAAATAATTCTGGGACTCATGTGAGTATGACAGACACAGTGCTAACGGCAAAGGCAAAGGCATCTATTTGTAGAAACAGTCCAAATGAGTGATACATATTTATGGGGAACTACACAAGCCAGACAAACTCATTCTCTTTAGTGTGTGGATAAAATTAGACAATTAGAGGATGGGGGTAGCAATGGAGATATCAATTTTGATTATAATAAATCACTTAAACAAAAATGTCTCAGGAAATCTTAATTAAAACTTAGCTCAAAGTGGATTCAATATTAACATTCTTCCTGGGACTGAAGTGGGCTGAAAGAATTTGATGATAAATGGCATCAAGTTAAGACAGAGGTGATGAGAAGCGTGCTTCAGGGATATAGGTATTAGGGCTGGTCTTATTTAACATTTTCATAAATGCTGTTGGAAGGGGCGATAAGCTGGATGATAATTAAATTGAGGATGCCACCCGTCTGGGAGGTGCTGTAAATACCAGACAATACAGCAAAACACAGGCTATGTAAAAATACCGGAAAATGGCAGACCCAGCCAATCCCAGCTAACATATTCAGGGAGCAGAACTGATTCCATGGACACCATTAGCTCATAGGTAGTTTAACAAGTCCAAAATGAATTGTATGTTTATATTAAATATTGAGTCACTGAAATAAATCATGATTTTTGTGTGTGTGTGTTTTTCTATGCAAAAATGTGTCAGGACTTTTCCAACAACCCAATAATTTTATGCTATTTGTCAGCCTCTCAGTATTAAATAAGATCAAAAGAATCAGCATCTTTGAGTCTGTACACATGCAAAAAAAATATTTTGAAGAAATTACTGATAGTACGAGACTAGAAAAGGGAGCTGAAACACTGACCCTGAAAATGCAAGCATTTTTTAAGAACTTCAATGATACTATTCGATAGGTGCCGTCTTCTGAAGTCTGTTATATGATGTTGAATAAAACTACAGGGGCAACTTTGCTGCTAAACTATGGTGAGGATTTAATTGAATTACTACTCACTGACTCTGAGACCAGTGGTCTATGAGATGCAGGTATATTATCCTCATTCTCAATTTAGAGAGAAAATTTGCCTCCTAAATGAAACAGAGTATGGAGGAGGGGTTGATTTCCATGAAGAAATGTTTTACGGAATTTTGGATCATGTCTGGGGCTTTATTTTTTTTTCCATTTTTGGCAAAATATTTATTTTGTACTGTTTCTAAACCATGCACTTCTGTTTCCTAATAGGTCATACTGATTCCTTTTCATTTTGTATTTTTCTTTTTTTCTTTCTTTTGAGAGGTTTTTGCTGTAAGGTGTATGTGCTCACCATAAAGACAGAGACAGAAAGCGAGAAATCACCCTCCAGGGAAGATGGCCATGCCACAATCCCTTCTCCTCCATGCTGCCCTTGGGATTTTGGGCACGCATGCACGTGCTCCTGGTGTGAGTTTAAGCCACCGGATCCAGGACTTGAACTGTGGTTGACTAAATGGGAATTCAGCAACATAGCCATCACACCAACTGCTGGTCCCATTTTGTATTTTTCACTTAATAAGGTATATTCTTTTTTATTTTTTAGGTCTATTTGTGAAAGTATGAGAAGCAAAATTCTTAAGACTTGTGCAACAGGTTGCAGGATTACTATAGGGCATGTGCGCTCGCCAGACAGACAGAGACAGAGAGACAGAAAGCTATAAATAACCCTCCAGGGGGGATGGCCATGCCGCAATCCCTTCTCCTCCAGTCTCCTCTCAGGATCTTGGGCACGCACACACACGCACCCGGTGTGAGTTTTAAGCCACTGGGTCTGGGACTCAAATAGCAATCGACTACATGGGAGTCCAGTGACATAGCCATTACTCTAAATGCTGGTCCCTCTTTTTCTTTTTTTAATTCAACAGAGTAACAATTAGTACACCAATACAGTCATGCCTTAGTTTTATTACACATATAAACTACCACCTAGAATAAAATGTAGGGTAATAAAATGAATATATTTGCATCATAGTCATTTAAAAACATGAAATTTTCCTTTTATAAAAATGAACTATAGAGCCAGCAGGTGGTATGGAGGTTAAGATGGCTAGATCCCACATGCATGGTTTGAGTTCTGGAACTGGTGGCTTGGAAATCATGCTGGGCATGTTTGTGTGTGTGCTCAAAATCCTAAGAAGAGAATAAAGAAGGAGATATGTGGCCATCCCTCCTTGTGGGGGGGGTGATTCCTCACTTCCTTTCTCTCTCTTTCTGCCTGGGTCCAGCCTCAGTGGGGGTGGGTTGACTCATTGGAGGTGGCGCAGGAAAGGAAAAAGACTAAGGCCTCAGTGCCATTTTCATGCACATCCTCAATCGGACACCCCTCAGAGATCGCTCTCTGAAGAGTGACCACTGCTAGGAATCATCGTGCCTTTTTATTGAAAATGTGTTACATGCAAGTAAATGGGTGAGGGGCTATGTGTTCTAATTATCAGTTTAATAGGGATTATAGATTCCATTCAGGGTTGGATTAAGGGTGGGTCTATTGAGGTTCTTCAATTGTTCGTTTGATGTAGGTGGGTCTCTATTGAATGCAGTTTCGGGAAAGTGGTTCCAGTAAGCAGAGATAATTATTAGCTGATGCGGCGGCAGCCATCTTGTGATTACTGAACACAATGCTGAGAAAAGAACATCTTAAGTATAGATATTAGTTCTTATGGATCTTAATAAAGAATGATACTTAAATAGTTTTATAGGGATCTAAAATTTAATTTAAGGAATTCTAATATATTTATCTATTTCACTTGGTGAGGGCAGGGGTGTCCTGGGCCAGTTTTGGCCTAATTCTATTTTATGTAAAGAAAATATTATCTTTAAACTTATGTTAAATGTATTTTGAAGGGTCTTCTAAAGGTCAAGATTATTTCTGCCTAGATAGAACTTCAGCCAACTCTCTATTGTGACCATGGAGATAAAGCACTGTAATTAACAGTAGGTGATCAGGGCCAAGGGGAGTGGTCAGGGGACTTTTGGGAAAATCTCATCACATACTCAAGAGAGCTATGTAATTTTTTATAGTATATCAGGGAGTTGGGGGGGGGGGTTGCTTCCCAGCAAGGCTACCACAGTTTCCAGAGCAAATAGCAAGCAGCCTTGCTGACATGCTAATTTGACCTAAGTTTTATTCCGAGGTCCGGGGTGGTGGGGGAGGGTACACAGTAGAGGCCTTGCCAACGTGCTGACCTGACCTAAGAGGTAGAGGTCAAAAGC